GGCTCGACTCGCCGGCGCCATCGCCCTCTGGGCGGGAGCTGCCCTTGACTGGGAAGCGAGCGCAGGCGCTTGCTTCGACCTCGACGCGCAGGCCAAGGAGCGTGGCATGCGCGAATGGCTTGCACGCTGGAGGCAGGGTCTACTGCCCGGGCGCCCGCCACCGGCCCCCCTCCCACACGCTGCACCGGGGCTACCGCCAGCACACCCCGGCGAGCCCGGCCGCCACGCAGGCGGCAGCACCCCGGGAGAGGGGGCCGACCGCCGCCCCCCGACGCGCTGCGCCATCTTCCGCCCGGCTGACGGGGGCATCGACGCACGCGCGGCGGCTCTCGCAGCGGGCCTCGTCTGGCAGGACATGGGCGGCACCCAGGACGAGCACGACGCCGCTCGCGCTGCGGGGGCGTCAACACTGCCCGAGATCGCCAGGCCCCCTCGCAAGCAGAAGATGCCCCAGCTGGGACTTGTCTCCATTTCGGCCCCCGAGCACCTCGTCGACCTGGCGCCGGACGTCCCGGTGTTCGCAGAGGTCCAGGAGTGGGTCCACAAGAAGTTGGCCAGCGGGCTGGCGCACAGCACCCGCACCAGCTACGGCGAGGCCTGGTCCAAGTGGCTCTGGTGGTGCACCCGCAGGGGTATCCCGCCGCTGTTCGAGGGCGACTCCAAGAGGCAGGTGACCGAGGACGAGGAGGAGCTCCTGCGCTTCATCGGCTACCTGGGCTGGTTGGGCAAGGGCAACGGCACCATCCTCAGCACCCTCTTTGCACTCCAGGGCGGCCACGTGCGGGCAGGAGGCGGCGACCCTCTCGTCGGGAAGAAGCGCATCAAGGTCCTCATCGACTCACTCCAGAAGGGCGGCCCGAAGGAGGAACGCAAGCTCGGCGTCACGCCGCGCATGATGATCTGGCTGAAGAAGGAGCTTAGCCCCACCCCGCCGTGCCAGGGAGAGAGGGCCACGAGGGGACCTGACTTCGACTCGGTGGTGCTCTGGGGGGCCCTCTGCACGGGCTTCTTCTACCTCTGCCGCGCGAAGGAGATCGTCGACAGCGGAGGCGTCGATGAGCAGATGTGCCTGCGCGGGGTCGATGTGGCATTCCACGACAAAGAAGGAGGTGCTGCAGCTCCTGGAGTAGGCTCGGCAGCCAAGGCCCTGATCACTTTTCGCAAGACCAAGACGGACCAGCGGGCGTTCGGAGCATGCAGGACTCACCACAGGGCCGAGGCGGAGGTCTGCCCGGTGGAGGCCCTGGAGCTCCTCCGCCTCCACGCGCCCGAGCGCTTCCAGGAGGGCTCCGAGGGCCGCCGCCCGCTCTTCCGTTGGGCCTCGGGCCGCATGGTCAAGCGGGAGCAGCTCCAGGCCGCACTGCAGCGAGCCGCTGCGGCGGAGGGCCTGCCGCCGAAGCGCTTCAAGAGCCACTCCCTCCGCATCGGAGGCGCCTCAGCGCTGTGGCACGCGCTGGGCGATGCCGAGGCGGTCAAGAGATGGGGACGCTGGAGCTCGAACGCCTTCCACGGCTACCTCTACGACTCGGAGGAGCAGTCGAGGGGCGTCGCGGCGGCCATGGCCCGCGACGTAGCCACGCTCCACGCGGCATGACGGACGATGGCGGGTGGGCCACCTGGCCAGAGCGTGGCACGGCAGAGGCCGCGCTCAGAGCGGCCAGAGCGAGGCCGCTCAGACGGAGGTGGAGCTGGTCGCACCTCGTGCTGCAAAATGCGGGGTGAGTGACGCTCTCTCCCCTCTTTTTCTCCTCTTCTCCCCTCCGGCCCTGGGGGGCTCTTTCCCCGGGCCTGGCCCTCGTGGGCCCTCTCCCCGGGGCCTCCCCGGTGCCTTTGGGGCGCCTTCCCTCCTTTGCTCTCCTCGGCTTAGGCTTCGCCGCCGCCGCCAGTAGTTAGAAGTTTTGGGCTCGTTAACTCGTTAACTTGCTGAGTTTTGGTAGCGACCAATAACGTGTAGGTTTGAAACTCGTTTCGAAACCGTAGGTTCTTGGGAGTGTTGGGGGAAACCTCAGCCACTTTCCCCTGCTCTTTTGCCCACCCAGGGACCCTCAAGAGGCTCCTCCCACCCTAGGGCTGCCGGTCCCCCGCCTGCGTGCACGAGGTGCGCGGCGGGTGGGCCACCTGGCCAGAGCGTGGCACGGCAGAGGCCGCGCTCAGAGCGGCCAGAGCGAGGCCGCTCAGACGGAGGTGGAGCTGGTCGCACCTCGTGCTGCAAAATGCGGGGTGAGTGACGCTCTCTCCCCTCTTTTTCTCCTCTTCTCCCCTCCGGCCCTGGGGGGCTCTTTCCCCGGGCCTGGCCCTCGTGGGCCCTCTCCCCGGGGCCTCCCCGGTGCCTTTGGGGCGCCTTCCCTCCTTTGCTCTCCTCGGCTTAGGCTTCGCCGCCGCCGCCAGTAGTTAGAAGTTTTGGGCTCGTTAACTCGTTAACTTGCTGAGTTTTGGTAGCGACCAATAACTGTACGTTTACGTGAGGAAATGAGACGGTTTCTGGTTGTTGAGACTCTCTTGGACGGCCTCTTGAGGCTCTCTTGGAGTTTCTTGGCGGCGGCTTGGACCGTCTGGAGGCCATCTTGGGCGTCTTGGAACGATCTTGCAGCGACCCAGGGCCTTTCGGACGGTTTCGGGCGCGTCTCGGGGCTCTCTTGGGGCGTTCCTGGGGCGCTCTGGGAAGCCTGGAAGGCAGCGCCGAGGAGGAAAACCAACTCTGGGACCCACTTGGCCGGGGCCTGCTCGGTGTACTTTTGGTCCGGGGCCCCCAGGGGCCGCCCCGCGCACGCGAACTAGAAGACTATTAACCAGTTACTGGAGATCTTAGCATGCCTCTGGCCCGTTGGGGACGAATTTTCGCTCGTCGTTTGTTCGTCGTTTGTCGTTCGTCCTCCCCCCCCCGGCCACGGAAGGACAGTCCTGGAGGAAGAAGGCGAAAGCCTCCTGTCCCTCGCAGCTCCTTGGTGCAAGAGGCAGGGCACTCGTGCCACTTGTTCGGGCCGCGGCTGCGCCCGCACGGCGCGCGAGTGGGGGCGGGGGGAGGACCCAACGGGGGTACCCAGGAGAGCATCGGGCCCCTCGCGAATAGGGTCCGAGCAACGTGAGTCCAACTATAGAAAAGACAAAAGCTCTGGGGCTAAGAATAATAAATGCTTGAGCCGCCCAAGATCGCCGGAGCCAAGGCTCTCAACATCACGCGAATCATAGCAGGCAAGCTCAAACGCCGTAGATCCGTAGCCGCCGCAGCCGCCAGGGAAGACTAATACATCCTTCGCAGCCAGGAGCGCTGTCTTCCCCCCCCCTAAGAGAGGGCTTTGGGGGGTCCTTCTTTTATAACTCCAGGGTTCAAGTTAAATGTGGTCGGAGGGAGGATCGCGCTGCATCGTCGATGCGTCGGCGATGCATCGGCGACGCCCGCGTGGAGAAAAACGGGCTCCACATCGAACCGCATCGGCGTTCCATCGGCGATGCGGCGTGATCCTCCGATCCCATCTTCTCGGACCCCACTTGGGGATCGTGGAACATCGGGCCCCTCGCGAGACCCGAGTGGACCTGGTCCCACATCCTTCCGAGTCCTCTTCTGACATTCTCGCGTCTTGACCCAACAAAACTCACAACGGAATTGGGGGTTGCTATTTTCGCCATCCGATCCTCAGCAGGCCCCGAGACTGCCGAAGTCAAGAAACAGTGCAGGATGAAAAGCCAGTCCCCAGGAAGGGGTCCCAACGTCTGGGGAACCACGCTGTGAAAAACACAAAGGAACACAAAAGCAACGGAGGATGCCTGGGGACGAGGGGGAGGGGGGAGGGCCCCATGCGCGAGGGGCTCGACGTTGTCCTGGGTAAAATTTCCCCCGTTGGGTCTCCCCTCCCGTCGGTCCTCGTGCACCCTGCGGGCGCAGCCGAGGCCCGGGTGACTCGGCATCGCCCGGGCGTGCGCATGTTTCCTCGGCGAGGACCATCGAGGGGCATCTGAGATCATCATACGAAAGATCAGCGCACGAAGCCGAAAGTGCACGGGGAATGGCCGTCCGAGCGATGGCGAGGTTGGGGGCTCCGCTCCACCGAGGCTCCCTGGGGGTAAAGCTCTGACTGTCCCTGGCATCCTCTCGTTGTGGAAAAATCACGACGGGGGGTCGGCAATATTCGGCCTCCAGGTGCTCCCCTCAGCGGGCCCTGGGCCGGTCAGGAAACGACTCGGGAGGAAATGTGGTCCCGAGAAAAGGGGGCCAGACGTCTGAGAAGGCAGGTTGTTAAAAAGATCCTGGCAGAGGATGTCTGGGGTGGGAGAGCATCGAGGAAGTGCAAACATGGATTAAGGCGCGTGGATTAGCGACGGGCCCCACTTCCAAGCAGGCTCGGCAAATTCCGTCGCCAGATCAGGCCGCATTGGTTTCATGGGTCTGAGATGCTTTACCCGATCCGTGGATCTGGCGCCCACACGCCAGATCTACGGATCCGTGATTCATGTTAGCGTGCGCCCGAGAGTTAGGCTCGTGTCGTTTCGACAGGACGTTGACCCCAGCGCGGGCGTTCAAGGTTGAACGCCGCTGGCGGCCCAGAATCGGCCAATATGGACAGATCGTGCGATGGATGGACAGCCGAAGTGAGAAGTCGGTGTCAAATCCTGTTGGTGTCAGAAGCCAACGCCGAAGTCGCCACGACAAGAACTTGCCGTAGGAGGAGGCTGGGGAGAGCACCGAGGAGGAAGCCGAAGGCGGGCCGCCTTCTCGCCCCCGATCCGTGAATCTGGCGCCCACACGCCAGTTCCACGATCCCATCCTCCATGTCAGCGTGCGCCCAAGAGTAGGAAGAGGCCTGGCAGAGCGCCGAGGAGGAGGAGGAGGAGGACGAGGCGTGCCGCAAGCTTTGTCGAGTCGCTTCGTGGACCCCTCGACGACGACGACGAAGAAGAAGACGAAGACGACGACGACGACGACGACGACGACGACGACGAAGACGACGACGACGACGACGACGACGACGACGAAGACGGCGGCGGTTGCGACATCCCCGCAGGAGTTCATGGGCAGCGGCGGGGGCGGCGGTGGCTTCAAGCCCGCCGAGAGGGCGGCGCCGCAGAAGGAGGGCAAGAAGGACCCGCCGGCGCGGCGGCAACGGGGAGGCCAGAGGAGCGACGGCAGCCTCGGTCGCGGGGGCGCCCCAGAGAAGTGGTGACAATGATGGCGATGACGATGACAGTGACGATGACGGTGACGATATCATCATCATCATCATCATCATCATCATCATCACCACCACCACCACCACAACCACCATCATCATCATCTTCATCATCATCATCAGTATCATCAACATCTCACCACCATCATGATCATCACCATCACCATCATCATCATCATCATCATCATCATCATCATCATCATCATCGCAATCATCATCACCATCATCATCATCATCATCATCATCATCATCATCATCATCATCATCATCATCATCATCATCATCATCATCATCGTCAACGTCATCGTCATCGTCATCGTCACCGTCATTATCACGGGTGCGGCCCCACGCGTAGGAGTGGCCTTTCGCTGGAGTGATCTCTGGTGTTTTCTCACGGGCGGATGTTGCTAGAAGTGCCTTGGCCCAAGATGCCTCCGAGATTTTGAAGGAGGCCCCCACGGCCGCCAGAGCACCCCTCACGAGGCCCAGAGGGCCCCAGAGGCTCCAAAACTGAGCGAAAAGCTGGGGGGCACTTTGGGCCAGAGGCACCTCCAGCAACCCCCGACCCGGGGGTGCCCCCAACACGGGCCCGCGCTCTTGGATTTGGCCGCCCCGTGGCCCTTTCGCCGGAGTGAGCTTTGGTGCCGGCCCACAGGGGTGCCCCCAGCGCCGGGGCTCATTTCGATTCCCCCGACTCGATTCGATTCGACTTCGATGGCTTCCGACGCCGATTCGATCCCACTTCGGGTTCCGATGTGGATTCCGATTTCTCAGCGGAGGCCTACGAGCCTCCCGATTTCCGCCGATTCGACATCTCCCCGACTCGGCTGCCGATTTCCACCGATCCGATTCAGTTCGATCGCCGATCCGACTTATCGATTTATCGATTCGATTATGGGCTCGCCTGCAGCACGGGCCTGCGCGCTTGGATCCGGCCGCCCCGTGGCCCTTGAGAGCTGCATACCCAAGGTCACGCTTGCCCAGGGTCACTCCCTGCGTGTAGGCGAGGGGTGAGAACCAGGGGGGGGGGGAATTGTCGAGGACGCCTACGCCGAACCACCGCCGCCCAATGTACGTACGCCTATGTGGCCAGACGTTTGGGCAAAGTTTGGTCACGTTATTGGGCCATGCGTTCCCCCAGCCGTTGTGGAAGCCTTTCGGGGAACGCGTGGGGGAGGGAGAGGATGATAAGGAGAGGGAGGAAAGAGGAGGATGTTGAGAAGGATGAGGAAACCTCTCGGGAGCTTACTGGGTCATTCTTGGGGCCTCCTGGGAGCCTCTTTTCTGGCCCGTCAGACGCCATCGGAAGCCGTCTTGAGAGCCTCTCGAGGCCGTCTGGGGACCCTCTTGGGGCATTTCAGGGTCGTCGTGTGGGCGTCTTGGAGGCCTCTTGGGCCGTCTTGGGGCCCTTTGTGGGCCGTCTTGTGAGCCTCTTGGACAGTCTTGGGGTCATCTTGGAGTCCTCTTGGGCGATCGTGGGACAATCGTGAGGGCTTCTTCATCTCGAAGCAAATGCCAACATCCTGCGAAAACCAAAAGAACATCAATGATGTTGCCCTCTTTGTGCCTTCCTGGAGGACCTCTTTGAGGCCTCTTGGGCTGTCTCGGGGGCCTCTTGGGCGCTCCTTGGGCCGACTCGTGCTCGTTTGGACTATCTGGGCGGTCTTGGAGGCATCTTGAGGACATATCTTGGGCACTCTTGGGGTCATCTTGGCCGCATGGGAGGCCATCTTGTCCGTCTCGGAGGCCGTCTTAAGCGGAAAAGCCGATGGGTGATGCGTCTGGAAGAGTTTTCAGACTGGCGCGGCGGGTCGAAGCCCCAGGAGAATGAAAAAGAACCGAAAATAACCAACAGTTCAGCACGACAGGCACCCCTGTGATAAATCAACACGGGGCGGCGGGTCCAGTGGTTTTCGGCCCATTTCGCCACCGTGCTTTGGACCGATAGTTCGGCGACTCGAGGGCCTCTTGGACTGTATGGGAGGCCTCTTGAGGCCCTCTGAGCCTGTCTCTGGGCATTTTTGGGCCCGAAGAAGGAATGCGGGAAAGCGCAACGGGAGCCCTGCGAAATGATTCTTTGGATTGAGGATTGAGGCTCAGAGGATGGAGCAAGGGACCCGAGGACACTCCAACTCCTGCCTCGCGGCATGGTGGCGGAACATGGCGGGGGCCGTGATGCTTCCCAGACGCACTGAAAGAAAAGGGAGGCAATGGCATCATGCCATTGCCTCCTTTTTCTTTCAATGCGGCCGTTGGCGTCCCCCTCGGCCGCGGGCCATGGCGTGCGACCCCCCGCTGGGACGCCCCCCGTCCACAGGGCCCATGCACCCAGGACCAGATCGGGACGCTGCCAGATCCGGCCGGAGGGAGCGGGGTGGAGGAGCGTCTCGCCCCAGGGTTGCAGTGTCCCCGGGGCAGTCCAGAAGTCCTGGCCTGCCCAGGGTCCTTGTCTGCGGGGCCCCGAGCGGCAAGAGGAAGTGGATGGGACACGAGTTTGAACGGGCTGCGAAGGTCAATTATACACTGTCCGTCGTCTTCGTCGGTCGGCGGGGATCGAGCGCGTCCGTGCAGCTCTTGGAGGTTCGGGAGGCAGATTTACAGAATGTGCACATGCACAGCAGAGACACAAAGAGTGAGGTATGCATGTGTCTATGCATGTGTGCATCTGTTGAAAGAGATATGTGTGCAATTACTTCCCTGGCCAAACCTTCCACCAACCAGTTCAACCCCCCCCCCTCCAGACGCATCGAGGAGGGTGAGGACTAGGGGTGTGCGGATCAGGGGTGGACCTAACGGTGTTTGGGTGATTTCGTGGGCCGTTTTCGTTTCGACTTCGTTTTGCGGTAAAGGTGGATTGAAGACAAAACGAGGAAAACGAAAACAAACAAAAACGAAAAACACTGGTTAAGTCGAGCCCTGATGTGGATGACCAGGGCTATGAAATCTCCCAGATGTCATGGACCCCTCTCCTTCTTACACTACCCCCCCCTTGGCCCCCCCTCGCGCGCATGCCTCTGGCCATGATGCGCTGCCCCCCCCTCTTCTCTGGCGCACCGGAGAGGAAGCGAGGGCGGATAGCTGGCTCGCGCACATGCCTCGGGCCATGATGCGCTGCCCCCCACCCTCTTCCTCGGCGCACCCGAGAGGAGGCGGGGGCGGATGACAGGCGAGCGGAGGGGACCAGGGAGCATTCGGGACCGCCTGAGAGCTCTTGGGAGCGCCCAGGGCGCTTGGGAACGACTTAGAACCGTATGGCCCTCATGGGAACGCCTGGGAGCGCCCAGGAGCGCTTGGGGAGCGCCTGGGAACGGCGAGGGGTGAGCGCAAGTGTCCGAACGCGTCATCAGCACGTGGTGGGTAATCTCAGTTTGGATGATTCGTTGCAGTGTGGTACATGCGTTGCGTGTCAGTCGACGAAAACTACATAAGCATACACTGTCGGAGGTCCGCTCCGATTTCTTGGATCGGCGCTAGATCCCATCGCCTCCGGCGCCGCCCTCGGCGCAAGCCGCGCGCCAGGGAGGGGAGTCATAGTCGATCCAAGAAATCCGCTCGGACATACGAAAGCTGATGTTGATGCCGTCTGGTGTTCCTTCATTCGGGGCTGGCGATGATACCAGCTCCAGTCGTGCTTGGCTGCAGTCATGGCATGCAGCGTTCAGAGCGGTTCCACCTCGAGGTTATTACGGTCAAGACGCTGAAATGAGAAACATTTGGGACTCAGAAGGGACCATGGTTTGTTAGCCGTTCCTCAAATCTGGACCAGGGATCCTATACGTGGCCGAGTCTCGCCGTTGCTATATGGAAAAGCGTCTTCGTTCCTTATCCAGCGTTCCTTATGGTAGCAGGTAGCACAATCATTGTATTGATTCTGCTTCGTCCTCATCCCTGCTCGCCTTTTTGGTGGGCGGTCCCCCAGCCGCAGAGGCGACGTGCGGCGGCGGGTGTGCGTCGGGTGGGCCCTCTTCGCGATCGTATGAAACCCCGATGCCACCAATACAGTCGAGGCTGATTAGTAGGCTGACCCTGCCAAATCAAGGGTACCCTTGTGTTCTGTGCCTCGCCACTCATACCTTCTCCAGTCCTAGGGCAGTGTGGCCCTCGGAAGGGTCTTGTATCCTCTCGCGTATCCTCTCCAATCAACCCCGAGTGTAGTGCTCCGACTATCTCTATCAGGGGCACTGTGAGGGGCGCATGTGCTCGGGGGGACGCATCGACTTCCAGCGCCCATGCATCGAAGACAGGGGTCCGATAGCCCTCACCGCCCAGGGATGTGCGGTCTCGCTATCGAAAGCCTTGAGTCGATCTATCGGCGGGATGATGCCGCTGACATGTCGATGTTCCCCCCCTGAGACGGTCCCGCCCGAACGTTCCCTTTCATATGCACGCCGCCTGCGTCACAGCTGTCCCCTGACATCCATCACGACGGATGGTTTTCCCAAATTTCGTCGTCCAGGGGACCTCGCCGGGCCCTGGGGCCGTCAAACGACTAACCAGAATGAAAAGCCGGTCCCCAGGAACGGGCCCAGATTTTGGGGGAGTCACGATGCGAAACAAAAACCAAACGTCGGATGTCTTGGTCGGCGAGCCACAACAGAATCACCGTCACGCCGTCTGGATCTCGTCAGCATGTTTTTGTTATGTTTGCCAGCGTGGACCTCAAACGACAGGTCATTACACTCTCGATGTGCAATGCATGTGTTGCAAAATACGTAGTGCAAGCGTTCGTGGTTCAGTACATGTGATGTAAGCTGCTCTGCTGCAGCGTATATGGCGTAAGGTACGTGGTGAAGGCTAATTGGCGTAAGCTGTGAGAAATAAGCCGCGCGGTGCAACTTGTGCCATGCCAAATATGTGGCGTACGTGGCATTAGGTTTGTGGTGCGAGCTATGAGTTGCACTGTATGTGGTGCAGCTATGTGGTTCAGTGCACGTGGTGCAGGTAGCACGTGGCCCCACGAGGCTCCCACGGCCGCCCGCCAGGCGAAGCCGCGGCACACCAAGCCGGCGCACGCACGGGGCGGGGCGCTCAAGAGGCGCCCAAGGCCACCCGCCATGGAAAAGCCCGGCACAAGCATCCAAGTGTTTCAAGAAGCGACAGAAGACCCCTGAGTGCGAGCGGTGCTTGGGGGAAGCAGCATTCTGCGCCCGAAAGCAGAAAAAGCGAGCGAGTAGCACACGCACAGTCCGAGGAACGACGCGCGTTCCGTCGATGCCGTTTATCAATGTATCCCTCTGGACGCGTGTCCTTATTGGCTCAACGGGAGGGGGAGGAGGAGGAGGAGGAGGAGGAGGAGGAGGAGGAGGAGGAGGAGAGGAGGAGGAGGAGGAGAGGAGGAGGAGGAGGAGGAGGAGAGAGGGAGGAGGAGAGGGAGGAGAGGAGGAGGAGGAGGAGGAGGAGGAGGAGAGAGCACCAGGAGGAGGAGGACGAGCAAGACGAGGAGGACGAGAACGAGGACGACCAGGAAGAGGAGGAGGAGGAGGAGGAGGAGGAGGAGGAGGAGGAGGAGGAGGGGAGGGGGAGGACTACCAGGAGGAGGAGGAGGAGGAGGAGGAGGAGGAAGAGGAGGAGGAGGACGAGGAGGAGGAGGAGGAGGGAGGAGGAGAGGAGGGAGGAGGAGGAGGAGGAGGAGAGGGAGGAGGAGGAGGAGGAGGAGGAGGAGAGGAGGAGGAGGAGGAGGAGAGGGAGGAGGAGGAGAGAGGAGGAGGAGGAGGAGGAGGAGGAGGAGGAGGAGGAGGAGGTTGAGGCCATAACGCGAGAGAGCACACTGGTTCAAGCCCTTTGGGGCATGGGCCCGAGCGGCACGCACGCGACGCTGAGTCTATCAGGAGGGGAGAAAAACACACAGACACAATGAATCGTCGCGTCCCAGGAAAATATGGGAAAATATGGGAAGGGAGGAGGAGGAGGAGGAGGAGGAGGAGGAGGAGGAGGAGGAGGAGGAGGAGGAGGGGGGAAGACAAAAACCCAGAAGATATGGGAAGATGTGGGGAATATCTTTATTTGTGTGTATTTATTTGTGTGTCCCGGTTCCCCTTCGATCTAGAACTACTTGCGTTGACGCTGGCACGCAAACTAATTACCAGGGTCCTGAGTCTAGAACTACGTGCGTTGACGCTGGCACGCAAACTAATTACCAGGGTCGCGTGTACACCTTAGGCGATGCTTAAGAAAACCTAAGTTTTCGGCCAGAGTCTCGATTATTCTTAACGTTTCAATGCAACTCCTAAGATTTGAATGGGAATTTTGGGTTTTTATTCAAGTTCTGAGACTATGAATTTCTTAACCCATGATTTCTAAAGCATTTCGCAGGGTGTAGGCGCCCCACACGGTGCACGCGTTGTGCCAGCGGCTTGCCTGAGCCACCGCGTAAGCTCGCCGTGTCCGTTCGCTTGCGACCTGTTTTCGCTCGCTGACCACATGGGCAAAGAACACGTCGGCGTCCTGGCATGCTCTCTTGCCGTAGTACGATTGTACCCAATTCTAGACGCTTCAAGCAACTCCGCCAGCCCATCCAGACACTACGCCCAGACAAGTTGCCCTGATCAAGGATGTAGAGTACCATACAGTGGAATCAAGGGCTGGGTAAGACGTCATACCCCAAGAGGGAGAGGATGGAGGAGGAATCGGAGGAAGAGGAGTAGGGAAAGGGGGAAGTAGGAGGAAGGAGGGATGAGGAGGAATATGCGGATGATGAGGAGGAGGAGGAGAAGGAGGAGAAGGAGAAGGGCGAGCAGAAAGGCCAGAGGCCTCTTGGATGTCTCTCGGAGTCTCTTCGGATGTCTCTGGAAAACTTGTTGGAGTCCCCTTGGGGCCTCTTGGAGGCCTCTTGGCGGCCTCGGGGGCCTCTTGGAGCTTCTTGGGTGCCTCAGGGGGGTCTGTTGGTAGCCTCTTGGGGACCTGTTGGGGGCCTCTTGTGGTCTCCTGGGCACCTCTTGGGGCGCTCTTGGGAGGCTGCGGGGCCGTCTTGGGGAAATGTGGGAGGCTACCGATCAAAGAAGGTGGGGGGGGCTCAATTAGGGTCCCCACTCGGAGGCCAAAACGGGCCCAAAACCAATGTAACATCAATGAATTGTGCCTTCTCGCCGAGGCCTTCTTGGACGCTCCAACGGGTCGCGGGACGCCCCGTCCAGGTCCAGGGGAGGGGGTCATGGGGAAGGGTGACCCCCTCCACGAAGGGGAAGAAGGAGGGTTGGAAGAGGAAACGCCCTAACCACTCCCGCACTGAAGGGCTGGCTGGATTTGGTTCAGGATGACGTTTGCTGCATGAGAGGCAAGCGGAGGTTTCATCCGAAGCCTGCTCAAGATCTCAGGGGCTTCCCTGGCGACATTGAGCATGGGCAAGGCCTTGACATAACTGGTTGTTCGGAGGAGCGTCGTTGGAACTTCCTAGAAGGAGGCGGAGGATGAGGATCAGGAGAATATGTTGGTAAGTTTTGCTATCACCCCAGATCCTAACACCCGGAGGTCCCGGGACGCCTCTGGAGGCTTCCCGGGCCCAACAAGTGCCACAAACATTCGAACACATCCCCTCCTGGCCCGAGGGTTGAGGGCAAGATTTGGCAGGGTCAGTAGGATCAGGAGAGCCAGGAAAACCAGGAGGAGGGGGCAGAACGCAAGGCCAACAGGGCAGGCGATGGGGGCGCGGGGCATTGGGGGCACACTGAACCAGAGGCCTATCAACAGCTCGCGCTCGCAAGGACGATGAGGATAAATTGAGCGAGTGAGAAGACTAAGACGCTGACATCCTCGCGTCGTGAAACATCGACGGAAAGTGCTGGGCAATTTTTAGCCTCCTGGGGCGCTCACCGGGCCCAGATCTGCCAGAAATCGATTTCGAATTGAACATTGGTCCCCAGGAAGAGGTCCAGACTTCGAGGAAGCCACGCTGCGAACAAACACGGCACCCTCTGCCTGGGAGGCAGGGGGACGAGGCGAGCGGAAGGAGGAGAGGAAGAGTCGCGCACGAGGGGTTCTTTTGGCGCCCCCGGCCGGAAAGGCCGTTGACGATTGGCTACACGTAAGAGTGACACTTCGGCGGAGTGACTGCGGTTTTCGGGGGCCGCATGGGGCCAAACCACAGCACACAGGTTGTTATTGTCGCATCGCACTCAACAATCGGCAAGCCGCGCACCAAAGTTCACTCTTGCCCAGAGTCACTTCGTGTGCAGCCGAGAAGAGCACGCTGCCTGCACTGTTCGCAATGGAGAGGGTCCAGCTGCACTGAGCGCAGTTGTGTACACGGCGTGGAGTGAGGAGTGGATCATTAATACGAAATCTGCTACATTCCAGACCTCCGAGCCAGACCAGCTGGGGTCGGAGGATCGCGCCGCATCGCCGAAGCATCCGCGACACGGCACGATGTGGAGTTCTTTCTTCTCCATCCCGCCGCCGTTGGTGCAACGGCGATGTGGCGGGATGCTCTAGCCCCTGATTGGGCGGCCTCCATGCGTGCAGGTGGTTTGGAGCCCGCTGCTTGGTTCAGCATGTCCTCAATGCATGGTCGCTCCAGGTTGTTCGAAGAAGAAAAATTGCATAAGCATAAACTTTCAGAGTTCCGCGCAGATTTGTTGAATCGGCACTGGACGCCCCTGGCGGCGCCTCCAGCGCCGCCCCTGGTGCGCTCCGCGCGCCAGGTAGGTGGGACCTGCGCCGATCCGAGAGATCCGCGCGGACCTCCGAGAAATCATCGTTGTCCAGTTTTTTCGTGTTCCTCTGATGGTTCCGCCAGGTGTTCTCAGGTGCCAGAGAGCCAGCTGCGTGCAGCTGCTCCAGCTTGCTGACGGCCCCATTCGCCTCCGGTGTCTAGACGAATTTCTGGCACACGAGCCCCGATGTCCAACGTCGCGAAAACAAGAAATTCCATGGGCGTCGTTTGGTAATTTCTGCGTCCAGGGGGCGGAGGACATTTTCGAGCCTTGGGGTCGGCTGGCAAAAGGGCGCGGCGAAAAATCTGCCCAGAGTCAGTAGGGTGAAACGCCAGTGACCCCCAGTCGTGGCAAAAGCATGGCGCCAGATGTCTGGAAGGGCGCCACATGCGCATGGGCGTGGCATACGCATCTGAATGCGAGTAGTGCCACTGTTGCCACCCCGTCTGCCCTCAGGCCTTCACCCAACACACGACTCGCTTCACACGCGCGCGCGGCAGGCATGCCACGACGCTGCCGCCACGGAGAGAGCGTGGAGGAGGAAAAGATGAGACGAGGAGAAATCAGGAGGGGAAAAAGCACACAGACACCATGAATCGTCCACTCCCAGGAAATTATGGGAAAATATGGGAAGTGGGGGGGGGGAGACGACAACCCAGAACATCTAAGTTATTTGTGTGTCCCAGGGCTCCTTCAAGAAAGAAGGGGGGGACGGGGGGCGCGGGGCGCTCCCGCCGCAGCCACGATCCAGGCCCTCGTCGGTCTCAGTCTCCAGCCACGCTGCGTGGCCTCGCCTGGCCCCCGCCTCGCGCGGCAGGACAAGGGCGCCAAGGAGGAGGCGAAGCCCGCCGCCAGCCCCGAGGAGGAGGCAAAGAAGAAGCTGAAGAAGGCGGGGACCCCGGGCAGCTCCCATCCCCCACCCCCTCTGCGCTAATGGAGCTCAGCGGATCCGTGACCCGGGTTTGGGATCCGCTTCCCCCTTTCCGCCTTCCGCTGGTCCGGGTCTGGGATCTACACTGAGCGGTTGGCCAGGCTCCGCAGCTCTGCAACAGGGCCCTGGCCAACCCGGGTGCGGGCTGACCCACATGATTGCGTCCCCCCCTCCCCCTCAGATCCCCTGACATCCTCTCGTTGTGAAGAAATCGTGACACGGGGCTTGTCCCTCGTTCGGCTTCCGGGAGCCCTCACTGGGTCTCGGGAGAGTCACATTTGTTCTGGATGAAAATTTGGTCCCGAGATCCTGGGGAAGGGGTCCAGACCTTTGGGGAGCGTCGTTGCGAAACAAACACGACGCAGGATTTCTGCGACCGCCCACCTGTCACCGCCTGCGCGCGGCGGCCAGACTCACCCTGCGGAATGGCACCGCCCACTGGTGGCGCCGCCCCCGCCCAGGAGCACCGCTCCGCTGAAGGCTCCAATCTCTGCTCCGTCGTCCTGCACGCCCTCGCCCAGGGAAGAAGCATCGGCACGAGCACAAGCTTTCGACAATCCGCGCGGACTTCGCGGATCGACGCTGGATCCCCTTGGGGTGGGGGAGTCCAGCGCCGACCCAAGAACGCACGGACCTCCGAAAGCTTCTAGCGAAGAAGAAGAAGACGAATGAAGAAGAGCAAGAAGAAGAGCCGTGCACGTCAGAGGTGCGTTGGCAAGTCAGTGAAACAACAAGTTCCGCTGCCAGAGGCGCGGCTCCGAAACAAGAAGACGCCGCGCATACACAGACAGCGACGACGGCGGTTGTGACAGAGGCGAGGGAGGAGGACGGCGAGGGGAGGAGGACGAAGGCGAGGAGGATGGCGAGGAGAAAAAAGCACTGGGCTCAGGGGATCTGGTTGTTCGGGCCGTTCCTGAGGTCCAGGTCGGGGAAGCCCATTCGTGGCGGAGGCTCCGCGTGGCCAGAAACGCTCCTTTCTTGTAACATCCAGCGTTCTTGATGGTAGCATGGTGACTGTCCTCCTCCTCGTCTTCCTCCTCCTCCTCGTCTTCCTCCTCCTCATCCTCCTCCGCCTCGTCCTCCTCCTCCTCCTCCTCCTCCTCCTCCTCCTCCTCCTCCTCCTCCTCCTCCCCCTCCCCCTCCCCCTCCCCCCCCCCCTCCCCTTCCTCCTCCTCCTCCTCCTCCTCCTCCTCCTCCTCCTCCTCCTCCTCCTCCTCCTCCTCCTCCTCCTCCTCCGCGTTCGCTCTTCTTTTCCACTTGCCTCCGCGTTTCATCGGTCCTGTCTCGGCGCGCTCGGATTCATCGAGTTGGCGTGCCTCCTCCTCCTCCTCCTCCTCCTCCTCCTCCTCCTCACTATCATCATGATCATCATCATCATCATCATCATCATCATCAGCATCATCAGCATCATCAGCATCATCATCATCATCATCATCATCATCATCATCATCATCATCATCATCATCGTCCTCCTGCTCCCCCAAGAGACGGCGGGCGGATCCATGCAGACTGGCCTCAGCTCCAGCAGCCGCGGCCCGTGCCCCCCCCACCCTGGATCGGCTTCGACGCACCCCCACCCTCTCAACAGGTCGTCGGCACGGGGGTGTGGTCAGGGGCATCGATATCGGGGGCGGCCAAGAGGGGGGTGATGATTAGGGGGGGCGGGTATCATGGCTGGAGCATGATATCTCCGCAGATGTCATGACGCCTCGTCTTATTTCAATGCGTCCCCGGCACTCTCCTGAGCCGCGCACATGCCGCCGGCCATGATTAGCACCCCCCCTCTTGGACTCCCCCCTCTTGGACGCCCCCGACGACGGGGGGCGGATAGGCATGGGGGGATGCACCGACCCCCAATCGCCCATTAATCGCCGATAGGGGCTCTATAACCCAACCTGCCAAAGAACGTTCGGATTCACTATCGGGGCCCCATCGCCGATCTATCGGCGATGTATCGTCGATTCCAGGTCGATGTGTCCCCCCCATGTCACCCCCCCCATCGTTGCCCCTCATGTGAGGAGCATGCCTGCTCCAACCGTGTCGCCGAGTCGCCCGCAGAGGAAGAGGTCCGTGGATGTTCGCTGACCGCGCCCTCCGGGGGAGGGTTACGCAGCCCGTCCGCCCTCTTCTCGCGCCTGCGCCGCACCCCGCGGCAGAGCAGCTGCCGCGGCTGGCAGAGCCGGAGCCTCGTGAGAAAGTCCCTCGTCGCCACGGCTGGTCAGGGCGCGGTCCAGGAGACTTGGTATCGCTCGGACGTGTGCATTTTTCCTTCGGCGAGGACCATCGAGGAGCATCCTTGATCATTTGGCCAAATAACCACGCACGAAACCGAAAAAAGCACAGGGAATGGACGTCCGAGCGATGGCCAGGAGAGGTTGGGGGGGGACGATGTTGTCCGGCCACCTGCCTGATCAGTCTCCCGAATCCGCGGAGTGTCCGAGGTGCGAGGGTGGCCCTGGCCGCTCGCCCGTGGAGCCAGCACGGCGCCGCCTTTTCTGCGGGAGGCGCACGCCGGTAACAGCAGGGCCCAGCTCGATGGGGCCTCGCGAAATGGGGGGGCGATAAATGAGGGGGGTAGCGAGGGCTGCTGAAAAGGGGCCCTCTAGAGTCCCTAAAAGGGCCATTTCTGGTTTAGGGCCCGAAACGCGCACCTTTCTCCCTCTCCATGCATCGCCCCCGATTAACTCGCGCCCAACTCGAGGCCACTTGATTTTCGATTGCCTGCCCTGCCCAGCTTACCGCGCGGTGATCGCTGC